ATATACTTATATGTTGCTATAGCTTTTCATACTAAAATATAATAAAAATCTTATTTCATCTCGAAGTTATTAAAACTTCGAATTTCTGGACGCGTTGGATTGACACATCCTTGCGCTTTCACATATTTTAATTTTATTCTTAATACTTAAGAAAAGTGGCGATTTTGTTGTGTATTAATGAAAAATATTAAAACTATTACCCAGAAAATTCAGAGTAGAAATGTTCGAAAGCAAAACCCACTCACAGTATTGTAAGTCCGTGCTCAGTGGTGTGTGCAGAGTTTAACAATTGAACACACCCGGTGAATCGTAAACATTAACAATAACAGAGCTCGTGCCCTGTTTAGAAAAACAGTTTACGTTTCACGGGTGTGTTCAATTTGTTAATCTCTGTACACATCACAGAGGACGGACTGACAATACTGGTGAGTTGGTCTTGCTTTCGAACATTTCTACTCTGAATTTTCTGGATTATAGATATATTGTTTATTAATACATAACAAAATTGCTTCTCATAAATATTAAGGATAAAGTTAAAATTTGTGTAAGTGCAAAGATGTGTTAATCAAACGCGTCCCGGAATTCGTAGTTCCAATGATTTCCAGATAAAATAAGTTTTTAATTTTATTTTCGTGTGAAATGCTATTGCAATATATAAGTCGTAATATTATACAGAAAATTTGAGAAAATATTAAGTTCAAATCTGTGTCTAAGCACCTTAAAGATCTATCTTACGACAAATCTTACGATAGTTTTGTGAAACTCGGCCCAGATGGATTGAAATTGAATTTCAATTTTTTTTTTTCAGAGAAGAAAATAAATAATGTCTTTTGTCATCCTACAAATAATAAATATATTCTTTTATGTGAGACATAACCATAAATAATCTGATTCGAGAAAATTTGCCACCCCCCCCTTCTAGAATCAAATAGAAGTCCCCTAAAAGAATATAGCTACTATGTATAACTTTTGTGTGTCCTCAAAATAATGGATAGAAAATTGTTATACATTAATTATTAACTATACGTATTTGGGAACTGAAGTTATTTGTCGTTTGGGTCATATATTATAACTTTGCGAAAAATAGCTCAGGTGGATTGAAAAGGAATTTCGAATTGCAATTTCAATCCAATGTTTTCGCAGACGTCCGTGTCAAATTGTACCCGCCCATTTCACTGTATATCATCAAGTATTTGACTGCGACAGATAGAAATGACGTAAGCTGCATATTTCCAAGTTTGCCAGTTAATGTTCCGCGGTCTTATGATGAATGGCTAATTCAGTGCATGGGAATATATAGTTGAATTACGTGTTATTAACGTGAAATTGATAGATCATGGGTGACTCAATACCTGAGAACAATGATACAAAATATATAGAGTACCTTTTAACTCGTGCATCTTCAGATATCAGACTCGTCTGATATCTGACGATACACTCGTTAAAAGGTACTCTATTTATTACTTATTGACAGGCCCGTAGCAACGGTTTTAAAAAGGGGGGCTTCCCAAAAAAATCTGACAAGAAAAGAAAAGCTAATTTACTGTGCAAATCCTGAAATTTGCCAGTACTCAACCTTACAACATCTAAAAGTGGGGAGACAAACCAGCATCTAAAGGAAAATTTACTATAGCAAAATATTATACTCAGAAAAATCCCCCCCCCCCCCGCGTTATACGGGCCTCATTGATCAATTTTCAATTAAAATACATAGTTGGTGCTTTAAGTCACATTTCCTATGCAATATGATTAAATGATGAATTTGGAAATAATTAATATGTTAATTCATTGACAATTTTGTGCGCATTTTCAATACTTGATATCGCGATTACTTAAGGACGTACAACACACCCACCACCAGAAATTTCCTGTCGTTTAATTTTCGCTGTTTTAGTATATATTATACATGACAATACATACAATGCTTATGCACGTTTTTTGACAAAATCGTTCGAGTCGTATTTGGACAGGATGTTCCAAAAGTTACCCCCCTTTGGTTGTATCAATCGGCTAGCTATAAAATCCTTGATTATCAAAAAAGTTCAGCTAGTCTGACTGTCAAATTTCATTGATTCATTCATATAACCATTAACCACACAAATAAAGTATTTTTGTGGAGGTACACATTGGCAAACTATTTTTTGAAGAACTTAGACTGAAAAACTATGGTCCATTTAAACCTTAAAAAATGCGTATTTTTTAATTTAAATATTTTTTCATTTAATTTTGGATAAAATACTTTTTTAATGTTACTGGCTACAAAAGTAATTTTGATAATTTTTTGTAATTTTTTTAAACGAGCCAAATTGAATTTATTGTGAAAAATCACTCCCCCCCCCCCCTTTTCTCCTTAAGTCACGTTTTTCAAGCGTCTTTCAGACGTGGGACGAAAACATTGTTAGATCTACAAATACACATGAAGAAGTCCAAGCTAGAAAATATTTTTTGCTTTAAAAATATTATTTACATTATATATCAGAGTTCTTAAAACTTTTCAGTTCATTGCAATGCAGATGTATAGGAAATTTTTTGCGAAGCCTCCTCCCTTTTTTTTTGGAGGCAGTCATTTGAACCTGATGAAACATAGGGCGAATTTGTTGCGCTTAAACTGGTTCAGGTTTTGGTTTATAGTTTGAAACTAGTTTTCAAACTGGTTTCCAGTTTCAATCCGGTTTGCCTCGGTAAAACAAATGAACAGTTTAGACATAAAGATGGCGTCTAAAAGGCACAGACATGCCTGTGCTTGCATGATTATTAATTCTGCATTTTTAGAAAATGATAGCAACTTAGAAGATCATGAAGTTGGTCTATTGTCTCAACTCCAAATGCATACTTCAATGTGTTCTGCTCTTATGACCCTGATTCCTCAGCGTCGGATCAAAATTCCTCGAGCGCTTAACTATGTTGAGGAGATCATTCCAAAGTATACTGAGGAAGATTTTAGACGAAGGTTTCGAATGAGCCCGGGAACATTTTCATCTCTTTTAACAATTTTCTTAGAATTTAAAGAGAAAACAATTATACCAATGGAAAAACAGTTATTAATTTTCATACGCTATTTGACAACACAAATGACAATCCAAGCTATTGCTGACCAATTCGGAGTATGTGAATATACAGTCTTTGATATTGTAAAGCGCCTCGCAAACATTGTTTGCCGTGAACTTCTGCAGCAATGCATAAAATGGCCAGATGGTGAAAAAGTTTCCAACATTGTTAAAGGGTTTAAAGATTTTAAAAATTTCCCTGCTGTAATTGGTGCCATTGACGGTAGTCACATACCTATAAAAACTCCAAATCATTGTCCAGAAAACTACATTAATCGAAAGTCATTTCCGTCTGTCATTCTTCAGGCTGTGTGTGATTCAAAAATGCATTTATTAGATGTTAACTGTGGTTGGCCGGGATCTGTGCATGACTCCCGAGTTTTTAAAAATTCAGAATTGTACCAAAGGATTCAGAAAGACCCAGAGGGGATGTTTCCCAACAATACACACCTTTTGGGGGACTCTGCTTATGGTCTTGAAATGTGGATGATGACTCCCTACAGGGACCGTGGAAACCTAACACAAAGTCAGTATCAGTACAACTATATTCACAGCAGTACTAGGATGGTAATTGAACGCACTTTTGGGGCCATAAAAGGAAGATTTCGCCGCTTGAAATTTGTAGACATTCAGGACATTGAAAAATTGTTAAAGTAGTGATTAGTTGCTGTGTATTGCACAAATTTTGTCTACAGCATGACGATGATTGTGTAGAGTATATAGAGGAGGGAGGAGAGGATGAAGTCAACAACTTTGTGCAAATTTTATGTGTAAATAATGCTGCAGGAGAAAAGAGGGATAGTATTGCAAGAATGTTATAATATTTTTCCTGTTCATATGCAGCGTAGGCACCTTGTTATGAACAGAAAAACATATCTAAATTGCACATGTATGAGAAACTGAAACTCCTTTCTTAATAAAGAATCCAAAAAAGTTTATTGGTTCATTGTTAATCGTACTTAAAATGAATTATTTATATTAATGCATCAAATATTCATCAATGATCTAATTCTGAATAATTTTTTCAATACAGTGGAAAGATAAAAACTCAGGTATATTAAATTTTATTGTAACACAAAAATAACAAATCAAAGACAGAGGATACCTTCCTCAAAATAATGCGGTCTTGAAGCTAGTGCTCCCCTTCTATTATACTCAAAGGCTTATATAAATAATTTTACAAAACATTCTGATACATGTATACTGTATACATCATGATTTATGAATGGATGACTACTAGTAATCACATTGTAATAATTTAAAACAATTGGATTATCATAGGTCCACACAGGTAAATGTACTTTAGATTTCCATTATTCAAACCAACTTTACAGTGTGTTTAATAATATACCTTACAATACATGTTAACTATTTTTCTAATGATTCTAAAACTAATAACCAAATTAACCAAACTCATTTTTGAAAAGAAAACTTTTAATATTTTGATTTCTGACCACTATTATGAACAAATTCAAATTATTTATCTATTCTCTAAAGCCTTATAAAATACATGCATCAAACAGTGGAATTAAAGGCCAAAGAATTATTTGTCCTTGAAGAACAAAACAATTTTCAAATATTTAAAACTTTTTAAAAATAGTCTCCATACTTTTTATTTTCAAATTTAGGAAAAAAGCTTTCTTTATGATAATCATCTGGGTTCTATAGAAGATAATAAATATTTAAATCAAAAGAAAGTCAACAGTGACAACAGCCAAGACCAGACAAACTTGATAGTAAAAGCTTCATTGAGTCTTTACTTAATATACCACAATAGGAACTTCAACAATGAAATAATCTTATCTGATAATAACAAGGCATGAAAAATTGACTAATGGTCATATCAGGTTATACATTCTCCTGTCAACTACAAACCAGTCCACTAACTTGCCAGAAATTACCATTAAGTAATCTTTCTTACACTAAAAGATAACATAATAGTTACTACTGTTACTATTTTTTCATGGCTTCAACCAACTGAGCCATTATTTCAAGTTTTTTATCTTCATTTTCCATTTTCTTCTGATGTTGTTCCTTCAGTGTCTTCATCATCTCCTTGTGTTCTTTTCTCATGTCATCCAAGATTTCTACTATTTCACTTGCCTGCTTACTCTTCTTTCTTTTGGGGATCACATCACAGTCACTTGAAGTTGACTCTGCCTTTGATTCTTCGTTATCGGTTTCATCCTCCTTGCGTGTTCCTAGAGCGAATACAGGTTTAACATTCGGTTTATACCCATAACAGTCTTCTAGTTCTTTATAAAATGGACATTCTTTCCGTTCATTGCCAGATTTTGAGTTGTGATCAACACAATCTCTATATGCTTTTGTAAGATTTTTCCATTTCTGTTCACATTGATTCACTGTGAAAGAGAAACCCCTGTTGTGCATTTCAGAACAAATTATCTTCCAAACTTCCTTCTTTTTCATAGAGGGTTTTGTGAATTTGGCAGAATGCATGGTGTGTAATTCTATTAGATGACTGGTTGCAACTTTAGACCATGATAAAATATTGCTGGTACTTGATGAATTATTGCTGGTACTTGATGAATTATTGCTGGTACTTGATGAATTATTGCTGGTACTTGGTACATGAGACCATGATGAATTACTGCTGGTACTTGGTACATCTGTTTTACTTTCATCTGCAAATAATTTGGAAAAAAATCATGACTGGTATATTTTGTACATATTCTGTTCAAAGCATATTAAGTAGTATTCAAGCATGGGGATAGCAAATATTATCAGGGGCTTGACATAAATGGGTAAATATACAATGTACAAACTCAGCATTTTATGATGTTTCACTTTGAATTAAAAATATAGATATATTATATAATTAGAGACATAAATTTTTACCAGTTGTTTCAGTGCTTTCATTGGCCTCAGAGTATCTTGAAGATTTGCAGCATATAACTTCATCGAATCTACACCAATCAGTAAGGAGATTGACCACCCATGGTTTTGTATTTCGTACAAATTCTTTTCCAAAAACAGACAAATTTTCTTTAACTTTTGGGTAAATTGGTTTGGTTTTGTTGAAAACCATAACTGCCTTATCATCATTCCCTTGGTCTTTCTCTCTAAAGTTATTGGCTTCAGTTTCATTTTCAAACACATATGTGTTAAGAAATTCTTCTGAAATTAACGTATGATATTTTTTTGACACCAACTCTTTCACTTGAACTACATTGTTGTTGGTAGAGCCTATGAAAAAGGTATATAATAATAGTAAACCAAATATAAATGATACTGCTCAAATCAATGAATCTTTGTAAGAAATGTTCAGAAATTTAACATTAAAAACTAAAAGATTCTCTGTCAGTAAATGAAAATTGTCAACGTAAAGATATATTTGTTGACAGTCCATATCACTATAAGTATATATTACTGTTTATCAGTTATACTGTACTTAGAATTTCCTCTATCCCATACAAATGCTGGTTTCTTTGGATTTTATAACTGAAAGATGTTTTATTAACAAGAAAATCCTTTTGTTACATTCAAATAAAATAAATGCAGAATCAATTATCTTACAAAAATGTTTTTCAAACTCCGGAATTACTTCCGTTTCAAAAGAGCAGACAGCACATTTCAGCACTATTGCAGACGCTGTCGCCATGCTGGAAAAGCTTCCCGCTATTTCGTAAACCGAATAAACCACCATCGGAGGTGGTTTGGTTGGTTCAAGGAACTGGTTTCGGTTACAGCAAAAACAAATGGAAAACCGGTTCTGGGTTGAAACTAGTTTAAAACCAGTTTGAGGAACAAATGAACGGTTAACCAAACTGGTTCGAAACTAAAACCAGTTTTTGAGAAACAAATTCGCCCATAGGTTACCCTCGAGATATATATTTAATCTTTTAAATCGATCCCTGAAGTACCAATTAATTCATTCATTCATGCAGATTAAAATTCTGAAAACTAGAATAAGACATAAACTATCAACTACTAAAATAAAAGTAAAACTTATTCTCTAAGGATTTTATCCACGTGTCCAATATGCATAGTCCATAAACATGGCTGAAATGCATTTAATTTTATACCTGCGTATGAATTCAACTTACATTGAATTTTAATTTCATTTTTCATTAAAAGTGAACTTACAATGTTGAAAATTCAACTTTTCTATGATGTAAAAGCACTGGTAAATGGAATATATTTTTTCTTATTTATTTCAAACAGGAGAGGAGTCTAAAAGTAACCCCCCCCCCACACACACACACTTGTATGCATCCTTCTTTTGCTTCTATAGATAAAAGGAAATATCGTATTTGTCTACATTAACTTCAATTTATCAAACTCCATCTATGTTTAAATTATTCATGTGTCAAAATATTCATATACAGTGATCATACATGTATGAAACGTTATATACAGTGATCATACATGTATGAAACGTTTTGTTTTGATTCGAGGAAATGCGCACTGATATTGTTAACAGTGGTAGATCGTAGATCTAGATGGTCGGATATGGCCAGTTTGCCGCACATAAGATATTCATGAATTCGGACCATTTCAGTAAACGATTCTATTACATTTTCGGTACTTACTTAGTATATATTATAGTTTCAGTTCCTGAGTTCATTGTAAATGTGTCTTCATAACTGTTCGGCAAACAAGAGGAAATAACTCAAGAAGGGGGGGGGGGGGAATCGCCCACATTTTTTGAGTTGTTCCTCTTTGATCAGTGAACTTTTGGAAACGGGTTGTAAAACTTTTCTTTTCTTAAAAGGAGAACAAAACAGTATTTATATGGCTTATTCTTAATTTTAAGATCTGGTAATACGAATGTTACATAGCCAACTGTAACAAAAGAAAGCAATGTATCATAAAAAAGATAAAGAATATTGTTCTGCTAATATTGTTCACGGATACGAGTTTCATATAAAATTAAAAGAAATTTCAAGACATAATCTTTATTTTCTTCCCTATTTTGGTGGGAGGGACGGGTTTTAAATCAAAAGCGCAAATAATCAAAGATACGATTTGGTATTTCTAAAGAAACCACAAGTCCCTAATCCCGTTTTCTTTTAATTACGTCGGGAACGATTCGGTCGTCATTTTGACGCTTTATTAAAAACGTCAAATTTGACGTCAAGTTAAACGTTTATTTGAAATTGCAAGAGTTATCTCCCCCAGTGTGTTGTACGTCTTTAACTTAACAGAACTCTTTCGCGGTGGAGGTAGGAAACGTCGATTAGCTGAGGCAATGTACTGTTGAATACACTGGTACAGTCTGTTCATGTACTTATCTGTAATATTTCTAAGATATGAATATTATGATATCTTAGAATATTCAAAATACGTCAGTATCATTGCTGTTCTTGTTACACTGTGATTCTTGAAACTGAACATTCGAATTCCGATCAGTTTTAGAAATCAAATCATCTTCCTTTGATATTGTAAATGTCTGTTAAAAAACTCCATTTTTTCTTAACTAAGAATTAAGTAATTATATTTGCAAGAACACTAGTATATTTGATCGTATAAATATATTCTATTTTAATGAGCTGGATGAAACTGACCACATTATTAAAGATATCCATCTCTTGTTGGGATCTTAGCAAAGAAACATCGATCCACACGCTATGATGTTGTCAGGTCGTTTAAATGGTGGGAAATGAGGGTAATGCAACCCTGATATACTTTCCATATAGAAGTCGGCAAGGTCCTTGCCAATTCGACTGAGTGAATTTTGAAAAAAAAATTTGATATATATATATATATATATATATATATATATATATATATATATATATATATATATATATATATATATATATATATATATATATATATATATATATATATATATAAACTGATATTTGTAGGAAATGTTGTGTATCAATTTATGGCAATATTAATTTTGATTTCCCTATGCTGGGAATGTAAAATAATTACATTGGTTGAATTTTTCAATATCAATTTATTAATCAAGTCAGTGACACACGTGCAACTTGAATTGGTTGAACAATTCAACAAATATGACTTCATTGTAATATTGTAAATATTTGAGCATTATTTTATCTCAAATGAAATAGTTGTCATAATGTGAAGATAACAAACAGTGATTATGATCAAATGTCCATTTAAACAATATAAATTGTGAGCAGAGCCAACTCAGACCTCTGAAAACAAAGGTGGGATCACGTACCATGGGGAGTAATCTGACAAATTGAATCCATCTAGTGCTAAATAAAGATTGCTCAAATAGTGCTATAATAGGAATAACTTTTCAATTCTATACATTTCTGTATTATATGGATACATATGCTCATACTTATGAACAAAAAAGTCCTTGAAACAGTGGTCCATGACCTATAGCTACATCTTAACGGATATAATAATGAAACTACATGCACGGTATTATACAGACATGTAAAGATAGTTATCTTCTTAAGGTATTGAAACCTTCCTAACTTGTTGCTGTGCTTAAAAAGATACTTGATATTTTATCTTTCACAAGCTTTCACGTACCTTTTATTTTTGGTCTTGCAGGTCTTGAGGAGACTTTTTAAATGACCCGCCACATTTTGCTTTTTTTCTCAATTACATTGTATCTTCCCTTGAAAGGGAGGGGGTTGCTGTTAGTTTCTCTTAAACAAACTTGAATCCTCTTAACCAAAGAATGTTTTAAGCAAGTTTGGGGGAAAATTGGAAAATATTAGAAGTCTACAGACGACAGATGAAGGACAACAGTTTCACAAACGGACACCGTACACCCGTCAATCAGAAATGCTCATTTGAGCTTTCACTCAGTTTGGCTAGCAATCCTGTGTTTTAAGTGGATTTTAAAGAGAAAAATCAAGATGGAATATTAATCACAAGAGCTGTACTCGAAGCGTCTAGTGGGTGCATCCTTTTTGATCGGGCTATCTTAATGCATATTTAATGTTTTTTCCGAGCTTGCCACGAAGACACGTGAAGTTAATTATAGAAGATTACAAAATGTATAACCATAAAACGTATCGCAAAAAGGTTGGTTTCCTCAACCTTTTCGACAAGTTAAGTTTATTGAATTTTATGCTTTTCTGTTGTTTTTTTCAAGTTAAGAAATTAAGTATATTTTAGAACATTCAAAATCAGTTTTAATCTCATTGCCTCTCTTTTCTTACTTTAATTTTGACACTGTGATTCTTTTTAAGCTTAACATTCGAATTCACGTAAGGATTACAAATAATATACTACTTCTTATCTCATGCAGTACAGTCAAGCTTCAGTAACCCGGGGGCCAATAATACGGGAAAAATTTGTGGAAACAAAATTAACATTTATATCTACCAATTATAAAAGATACGTTTCAGTAATCCGGACGATTTACTCGGGAACACAAGCGAAGCTCGACTGTATATCGATATAATTTGATTCTACGCTTGTCGTATCCAACAGCTTGGTCAAATGATCGCTTTATATGACTAACTTCAACGAGCTGGATAAAGCTGATCATGTTATTATAG